AAGCTCAGTTAACTCGACATCAATATATATTAGTAAAGAAATTTATAGACAATAAGTTTTCAAAAACCATTTTCCCATCTTACCAAAGTGTCGTGGAATCTAAAAAACACTGTTATCCTTCAGATATTACTGTTACAGAATCATCCGCCGAAGTCGAACTTCAAAGTTTATTAGATCATACTGCCAATCGGATTCTCAAGTCTCAAAAAGATGTTTTGGATAGTGTACCTAATGAGTCTCTAGATAAGATATCTTTGATAGGGAAATGGGGTTTCGATGGCAGTACAGGGCATTCAGAATATAAACAGTGTTTTTCTGACTCCACTCTTGAAGACAGTAGCCTGTTTGTTACTTCGTATGTGCCACTTCAGCTTGTTTTGACAACAGATAACAAAGAAAATTCAGTAGTTTTGTGGAAAAATCCTCGTCCTTCATCAACTCGATACTGTCGTCCTATACGCCTCCGATATTTGAAGGAATCGACTGCAGTGTCAGTTGAGGAAGAAGCTCATTTTAAAGATAAAATAAGGAACTTGCAGCCTACTGTTTTCAAGGAAGAAGATCGCGAATATCGCATTACTCATTGTTTGCAACTTACTATGGTAGATGGTAAAGTGTGTAATGCACTTAGTGGTGTTTCTTCATCAAAATGTTTTATTTGTAACGCCTTGCCCAGTGAAATGAACAAAATTGACGAATGTTTAAATAAGGAAGTCGATGAGAGTAAATATGAATTTGGTTTATCACCTCTTCACGCGTTAATACGTTTTTTTGAATATTTTGTTCATGTCGCGTACAAGTTAGATGTTAGGAAATGGCAAGCTAGGTCCGCTAATGACAAAATGCTTGTTGCTGCAAAAAAATCATATGTTCAGACTCAATTTAGAGAAAGATTAGGGCTTATAGTGGATAAGCCTAAAAGTGGCGGAAGCGGAACATCAAACGATGGTAATACAGCCAGGCGGTTTTTCTCGAATTCAGAAATTTCCGCTGAAATTACTGGGATCAAGAAGGATCTCCTAGATCGTTGCTGGATCATCCTTCAATGTTTAAATTCGGGATATAATATTAATAAGACGAACTTCGAAGAGTTCGCTTTAGAGACGGCTCGGCAGTTAGTTGCCGAGTATCCGTGGTATAACATGCCTGCTTCCGTTCACAAAGTTCTAATTCATGGTGCTAATGTTATAGATTACGGTTTGTTGTCAATCGGAGAGTTGTCTGAAGAAGCAGCTGAAGCGACTAACAAATACATCAAGTCTTTTAGAAAAAATCATACGCGTAAAATGAGTCGCATTGTGACCAACACAGATTTAGTAAATAGGCTGCTTCTTCATTCAGATCCCTTCATAACAGGTCTACGAAAGTTACCTGTTAAAAAAAAAGGTGTACTGTCAAAAGCTGTATTAGACTTGTTATGTATTTAAAGTTAATATTGTTGAGATTTAATGTATTTTGGTATAATTTGTGTTTTGTTTGTATTTTGTAAAATGAACTTTTTTATGTATTTTTATTGTTTTAATTTATTCATTTGTGGTTATTGTTAATACAAATAATCATTATTTACACAGTTTTACCATTAAAAGTCGCAGTATAAAATGTTTTAGATACATCGTCTAAAAACAAAATTACTGCGAGACATTTTTACACCTAAATATTGTCAAATATTTTTTAAAATGTATAATTTTATTAATTTACGTTTACCTAATCATATTTTAACGTAATAAAATAAAAAAATAATAATAATTTCGGAGTTACGTATTTATGACCGCCTTAGTATGGAGCGTGAATCACCGTGCGTCGGCGCGCGGTGTTTGATGGTCACGTTGCGCTTGGTTTGCAAGTTCGCGGCGTTGCATATTATATTGCCGCTTGTTCGATGGTGTGACCCTTTACAATAATTACAGGTTTTTGTATAATTAGAATAAGTAGGATTAGGATTTGCGTTTGTATAATTAGAGTTAGTAGGATTATGATTAAAAAGATTGGGAGGAACATGATAAGATCTTTGAACATGAGAAGTGCTTTTGGCAAGTTTCGCGTTTTTAAAATAACATTTTGATGAAGAGTGCCCTGTCTTGTAACATATGGAGCACTGCTTATAATTTTTGTGAGAGTTTGATTTCGAGAGGTTAAATAATTTTTCCTCTTCGATGGCATGTTATACAGCCTCGTTTAATGTTGAAGGATTCCTACACCTTACAATATTAGAAATAGAATGGTCCAAGCCTAGCATAAAAGTATTCAATGCAAGTTCTTCCATGGCTGCGATTCTACGAGGAAGTTGTTTATCGTCTTTACAATTATAATGAATGTCGGATTGTATTTTCGTGAGAATATAGGTACTCAATTTTTGGCGAGTATTTCGTCACGTCTTCATTGTGTAATTGTTTACAGTTTTGTAAATCAATTAATAGATGTGTTGCATGTTTTTTCTCGCCAAAAGTGCTTCTCAAAAATGATTTGATTTCCTTCCAGGTCGTGAAAGTCTTTAGACAACACGCAGCCTGGGCTTTGCTCTTTGCTGGGCAGATGCTCAGGTTCCACGTGGCGGAGCGTAGCGGCGGTGGCTTGTAGTTGCAGCTCGAATTGCAGTGTTAGCTTATGTTGACACGTGGTGGCACGTGATTAGGAGATGATGGTGGTGATGAGGTGGAGTTAGACTGGTTGGGTTGATGCGGGCTCACACTGATGTTGAGACTGACCGTCGATCATTATTATTATTATTTATTATTATTATTATTATTAGGGGCTGGTCAGGCAGTGGTGTGGGTAATGCGGGCTCACGCTACAGGGCGGCGGCTTATATCCACTTATGATATCCCACTTCTGACACCAATTTGTTAGGCGGCCGTTCCGATTTGTCTTTTTAAAAAAAAGAACTAACTTCCCAACACCCGATTTATTGGAGAAAATTACACTCAATCGATAACTAACTGACTTCCCGGAGCGATGTACCGCTCTTTACGAGTGCCAATATCTAACTGCCTTGATTTGACGCTTACGCAAAATATGAAAACTTGCACATTGCATTATGGAAAAATACGGCTTTAATAGAAACATCAACCTTTCCAAAATACCCATATTAGGTTGGGTTATAACAGCACTAAGCGTTTCGCTTCCACATTTGTATGGCGAGCGGAATTCCGTGCCTGCAGACTTGTTCCTCGAACGGTATAACTTGGACCTTTTCAACGCGAGAGTGAATAGGCATTAGTTAGGTATGCATACTACATCCCCGACCTCATCGTCACTTTCCATCAGGTGAGATGGAGGTCAAATGTGCACTTATTTTTAATAAAAAAAACAGTGATCTCATGGTCTTATGGTTTGATTATCATTACCATTTTATCTACTTCGCTCCCTTTAAATCAGTGAGAGGAAACATGCTGGCCCATAGATTCACTCGATGTACAAAAGAGGGGAAAGTTAAGCTTTTTAAAGCTTTTTGTCAGTCAATGTACTCGAGTGGTCTATGGGATAGATATACACAGTGTATATACAACTCATTAAGAGTACAGTACTGTGACGGTGAGACCTCCTTGCATCGTCATTCCTTTTTATCCTCCTTTTTATATCGCCTTTCTCCGGTTCCTAGCCACTCGTATTTAAATTCAAATTTAAAATTGTTCCATTCTTTTGCCTCACATTTTGTTTCGTTCCATTGTCACTCCCTGCTCGATCACGACAGCGGACGGAGCTGTTTAAATTCAATCGCGTCTAATTTTGATTATTTTACTAAGTTATAATCATTATAATATAATCTAAATCATGTGTCAATTTTAATAAGTGTATAACAGTCTACAGCCTTATCATGTACCTTTGAATACGTATCTGTAATTCAGTATAACTCGGCCCTTTTAGGGGTAAGTGTCTAATTAATTTCTTTTTCATCAAGTTAGGAAGTGTAGTGCTTTATAATAATGTGCCTGTTTTCTATATATACCTTTTTAATGTTACAGCCTTACTTCTGTGTTAGCATTTCTACTTAACCCAACTTTAAATAAATTTGTGGACCGGAAGTTTTCTGTTTTACTGCCGTGAACCTGGTCACGGCTTGTTAGGGTTACAACCTTTCAGTACAATACCATACTCAGGATGCTGTGGGGACTGCCACGGCACTGCAATGCGTCAAGTATGTTTGCCGAAACGCGAACATATGACCTTAAATGCGATTAGGCGAAAAAAGGTGTCGTCTCTGCTAAAGAGAGTACATGACAGAGGCAATGTCATCCTGAAGATGTTTGCCCAACGTTTTGACTGTACAATTTTAAAGTTTTGGATTCAAATTCGCTACTGGCCAAATTAAGTAATAATTTGTGCTTATTATTAAAACTAAGAAAATGCACAAATTAATATTTTTAGAATTTTAATGTTTGTAGTTCAATATTTTAAATTTTTTTAATCAAATTTTCAAAATTTTTTGTAATCATACTAACATAGTTCTAAGGTTTTCTTTTGTAACTAACACCATTATCGTATGGGCTATGGCCTGAAATAAATGGTATATTATTTATTATTATTATTATTTAATAACATGACGCATATGCAAACGCATACGCATACGCTCCCGCACCGCACCTTCCTCAGTAATAAACGAGCTTCTATTACGAACGGTCTTTTACTCTCTCTCCGCTACCTGCATGCGAATTGACAACTTTTCAGGAGGTAATTTTAAATGTCCCACGAACTAAAATAGTCGATAATTTTTTATGCTTAAATAGGAGTTATAAAATTTCACAAAATCATAATATGTTCCATGTAGTTCGTACTATTTTTATGACCTTCATGTGATAAAAGCACTTGTGATTGTGACGTTTGATCACGTGAAGCTTTAATATATTGGTATGATTTTACGCGGTTCTCGCTTCCGTCGTCATCTATAAGATTTTAGTACGTTTAAATGTCGACCAGGGTCAAGGATTTATTATCATTGTTATTGTTAGACCGCTAAAGTATTATCAGAACATCTAACCTTATAAAAAAGAAACTTGTCATACCTATGTAATAGCTGGTTCTTGGAGCGATCCTTATCGGTGTACATAAATAGAGCTCGTCCTGGAACAAAAAACATTTAATTTAGGAGAGGGGAATTTCCAAATACATCTGTTATCTTTATTTTCTTCGACCCAGAACTTGACTTAGCTGATTGCCTCACTAATAACCTCCAATAAAACCTCAAGCGTGCAGGTACTAGACCACGTAGGGTAAGGTATGTAAAAGGCGTCTTCAAATTAGACGCTTATAGAAGTCAGTAGACATAGTCTTTTGAAGTGCTGCAGTGGCGCGACTGTGGCATGGCAGTCGCGCGTCCATAGCGGTTTAGTAATTTTAGTTCACTGGTCTAACTGATATTGCACGTGCCGCGCGCGTGTCACGACTAGAGGTGGGCGTTTGAACGAAAAGCGCTTAATATAATATATAAACACGCTTTTTATTTTAACCGTAAGCGTGGGTTTTAGTCAGTTCTATAAACAACAATTTCATTTTTTGCACCGTGCCTAAGTTTGAAACTTAGGCACGGTCGGCACGGTTCAACCATTTCATTTTAGTTTCCTAAAGAAATTAATTCGTCAATGTGAACAATAATTTTATAAATAAAAGTAAACCTCGTGTTTTATAAATAAACTTACTTAACTTAAAACCTTTAGTGGTCTACTCTTGCTTTTATATAAAAATTTATACTCTTAAACGTTTTTCTAAGCGATTTTTCAAGCTTCAAACTAAAAAGCATTCGTATAAAATTATGTTTGCAATCGCTTGAATTTTAAACAAATTATCGCTTCAATTTGCTCAAGTGGGTGCAAGTTGAGCAAATGGCCCTTGAATAGAACAATTTCACTTTGAAACCTGGGGTCTACCCTCGTCCACCGTCCGACATCCGTCCGAAACAATTACAGTGAAATAAATAATACTCGACAAAATGAAAAGACGCATGATGCGAATGAAGCTTCATACTCGACATTGTCTTTTGATTTAATCGAGTCTTACTTATTTAACAGTAATTGTTTCGGACGAAGAATGGAAGTAGACCCCCAGACCCATATTTAGAGGCTTCCACAACGTCCATGGCAATTCATGTTCACGAAAAGAACTCTCGGTAGAAATCCACTGTATATCCACGTATCGACTACGATACACAAACAACTACGTACATAAACAACAGAAGTAGATTTTCAGACAACACATTTTTGTTACGTGCCTATAGCACTAAGTATTTCGTACCATAACAACTACTACGTAAATAAACAACAGTCATAGACTGTCAAAATGAATCCATTGTTATTATGTAGTAAGAGCACTAAATATTCCGAGCCATAACTAGAGTGGTAAATTTAGTGGAATGGGTTAAAATTCAGCGCAAAATTACTATTTTTTAATTGGTAGCTGTAGAGCTCCTTGTGAAAGAGTTATGTGAACATTACTGCGTTCCGGTTTTGAATAGTAAGGGTGCTGGTGAAATTACAAGCACGTGGGACTTGCCAACTAATGTCTCAGAGTGACGGGCGCAGTGGCAGTGCAAACGGATCTTTGTGATTTAAAGTTCCGAGTGGCACCGCAACTGTTATGGAAGACGTGTGGCTTACACTATTTATTCGTCCCGTCACTTGGTACCTACCTATTATAAAAAATAAATTTAAAAAAATATCTTCTAAATCTTCTTTTTAACCGACATCAAAAAAAGGAGGTGTATCTCAATTCGACTGTATGTTTTTTTTTTGTATGTATGTTACGCGATAACTCCGGTATTTGTGAACCGATTTTCATGATTTTTTTTTGTTGGAATGAGGGTACCTCCATAATGGTCCCATTTTGTAAAAACCATCCATCTCTAAGGGTGGCTGATCACGCATGAACATTCATTTTTATAAATAGCGCCTAAATTTTACTTAAGGAACAATTATTTTAATGGTTCTTCAATTCAAGGCGTTTTTCTCTCTCAATATATATTGAGTAGTGAGAACCGATTTTTATTATCTCCTGTGTCAAGTCCTGTATAGTGGCGAACTAAACATCTCCATATTTCAATAAAACTTGAAAAACAGATGTAATTCCACGTACTTTTGAGGTCGGTTTTTTAGTACTCTGTACTGAGATTATTAAATCGCAAAGATCTTAGAGGCACTGCCTCTGCGCCCGTCACCCTGAGACAAAAAGTTGACAAGCCCCATTTGCCTGTTCTTTCACCAGCACCCTTACCCTTCATAACCGGAACGCAGTAATGATCACAACACTGCATGACGGCAGAAATAGGTCAAATGGCAGTACTTCCCTGGACAAACTCTTTCACAAGAAGCTCTACTGCTACTAAATACGTTATACCTGATAACTATTTGTATACCTATTTATATGGGAAGTAAATATATAGTAAATAGTAATAATAGTGAATAGTAATTTCATTATCATAATATTTTGTTTTATATTTAGACTTAGTATATGAATTTTGTCATGTGGGAAAACACGATTCCTAACAATTTTCACGAAAGAAGAAAGTCACAAACTTATCTTGAAATTTTACAAGAAAACAGCTATACAGCTATAAATCATTGGTATATGTAAAGTTGAGATATTGAGTATTCAATAGGTACTTTACATATACCAATTATTTTTTATATCAACTGAATTAAATAGAATACTACACGATATACATTTTTCATATGGCTATAATTTCGTTTGTAAAAATTCTATATGCTGCCATGAGACGCAAAGTCGATGTTGGGAAAAGGACTGCCAATCTGAAAAAGGCCTGAGCTGGAGCACGTCTGTCGTATGCACCCATAGTGTTGGGGTCACACAGCTACTTGTTGGAAGCAGGAAAACGGCCAGCAATGACATGACAGGCCAAGAAAGCGATGACTGGATTACTCGGATGCGTATATAAGGGACTGGCCTGACATTGCGTCATACCGGGAGCTCTGGAAGTAGAGAGAATACGCTTTTGCTAAGCAGTGCGACTCTGCAATAGGATAATAAAAAAAAAACACTTTCAATTTAAAAGACGAACTAGATGGCGTTTGTCATGCGGTGTCCCAAGTTATGTACGAATTTTCATAGACGTATTATGTTTATTTACTCGCCATATGGTGTTACAAAAGATTTTACAAATATAATGGTGTAGCCAAACATGTGACACCTTTTTTTTTATACCTCCGGACACATAATGCGAACCAACTTGGTATTTTAATACAAAAATATTGTTATTAATTTTGCCCGCTTTTACTAATTCAAACTTTCAACAATCGTCATATCGTCGATGTTTTGTAGAAAAGGTGTAGGCGCAATTTACAATTTTTTTCTGGCAGCGTAATTTAATTTTTCACGACTGTTTTAAAATATTTACGACCTGCATTAAATTCAATTTTCGATTCTATGGCGCCAGTCTTATTAACTTACAAATATGTAGTCCTTATTAGGGACCCTAACTTCCCCAACGATGACTCCCTAGGTTAAGGGATAGGGTTCCTTGAAATCGGGTACTATAATAAACGTTTAAACCAGCCTCCAAATTGCATTAATAGTTTTGATGAATCAAACATTTTTTATGAGCTTAGGGCATTTACACTGTAGCTCGAATTATACGTATGAGGTACCTATAGTCAATAACTAATCTATCAAAGAACTACACAAATGGCACTTATGTTTTATGAAATATTTCGTTTGATTTTTTTAGTTGTTTTCGTTAACTTTATTAGGTGGGTAGTACCTACAGCCCTTCTTGGCATTTACATTTCGGTAACTTTCCGAGGTATTGGCACCTATGGTTTACTGTCACCTAAAAAAAGGTGAATTACACTGTTTTCTTAAATTTATTCATATACTCTCGCGCTTAGATACCCATCGGGGTAGGCAGAGTACTACAAACACAACAAACCTCTCTTGCTTGACTTACACTCATCCATCTTTTTATATAGATCTTTTTCTTCTCACTACGCAATCCAGCCTTTTTAAGGAGAGTCTCAATGCGATCTGAGAACGTTATGCTTTTTTTTATAATATCGAGAAATGGATAAGGTGGCAGTAAGCGTCTAAGGATGAACTCTTTCACAAGGAGCTCTACTGCTACTAAGAAACTTATTAAACATTCTTATTTGTCTCCATCAATCCTCCTTGTCCTTGACCTGGTTTTGTTTTTCGATTCGACCGGGTCAGGGTTATCACCTCACCTCCTAAAATCTAGACTCGCGTTCAAATACCTTCCCTTAACACAAAGTACCCTATTTTGAATCATGCCTAGTTACAAAAATGGATTGCAACTACCTTCGTTTCCAAGACTGATTAAAGCTTTACTGCAATCGCCAACCCGCATGCTAATCCTGTGATTGTAGGGGTAAATCCTATATCGAAAAAGCTTATCTAACAGTGGGCTTTGCGTTAATATGAAAGATAGAATACCCCGATAGAGCCGTAAATATTTCTCTATTATAACCTCGTCAAAAAAAGCCCTTTACGCATACGTCTTACTGCCCACGCAAAATCAATACCACCTACACAACGGCCGTATCTAAATGGGTACTTGATTTTTGCTAGTTGGCACATTATTAGCTCAAAGCTATACTTATATAAAACTGGAGTGACACTGATATCAGAATTGATATCGATATCCAAGTAGGATATTTGCTAGTTAAGCGATGTATAAGAATAAATATATAACTGTTTTTAGAATCTGGCACACTGGATTTTGATGGAGCTTTTTAATATTATAGACGGTACTTTTACCTAGAATCTGCTTTATATTTCATTACGATATAGTGTAGGGCTTACATGATCTTTGTGTAGAACTTAATTGATTATTTATTAACGGGTAATATTTATTCGGAAATGTTTTTCTTATGGAATGGTTCCACCGGATTATCATTAATATTGGCGCGAAAGGTAAACACACCGCAAAACGTACCATTCTTTCCTGTACATCTGGCGCATTATGAGTGTCCATCGGCGGGCACTTTACGCCGATTATGGCAAATCCAATCACCACGATGGTAGTCATTACAGTGTATGTCACTGATTCGCGAAGAAGAATAATTAATAATTCATTGTAGAAATACATAGTGGATGGC